AGCTAAAATGCATTATCACCTATGAAGTTATTCACTAAACCAATAATTATCAGGAACTGACCAGGAATTGCAAATATTAGGACACAATAGACAAATAGTAACTAGGCTATTTTGACTTTAAATTTGCAATTGAACAAAAACCTGACAAGTCTCGGCTTTGTGAATAGCATTGTGTGTATGTGACTCAAATTAGGTTTTTAACTGGAAATTGGTGAGAACTAAAAAGGAAATATTAAATTTTAGCCAGAGTAGACAAATTGGAAAAAAATATCCTTCTCCCAGCGTTTTCTAGCTTGGTTGTTTAGTCATAGAATTTGGCATTTTTTTAAATAATTCCATAAAGTTCCTGTCTAAATGAATAACCACTGTCGTTGTAAACTAGCTGAGCATCTCAGTGGATAGTTCAGATAAACAATGTAGGAACCAATCACACCTGACATCACATCTAAAGCATTTTGTTCTTAAAAGCTGGTTGCAGGGTAATTGATGTAATATAATAGTTTGTATATTGTAAATCCAACATATGGATAATTTTATATAACTTGTGGAAAGAAATATCACAGTATTAATACATGGACCTTCAGTTACGGAGAAATGTTTCCACATTCATTTGTTCTGATAGGCATGCGCACGGGGTGTGCCTGGGCACACCCTAATCCCCGCGGCACGCCTCTGGATTGAGACAGGCAGGGGAGATCTCAGGATCCCCCCTGTCGGCTCATGCAGAGCGGGCGCTATCCGAGAGCCAGCTCTGCTCTAAGCCTCCCCTCACCGACCCACAGGCAGTGAAGGAGGCAGGAGAGGACCCGGGGAGCTCTTGCCAACAGCTCCGCCGGGTTCCTCTCGCGAGATCTAAGCGTTGCTGCGGCAGCGCTCAGATTTCGCGAGAGTGAACTCTAGCCCAGCAGGCTAGAGTTCACTCTCCACTGGACCACCAGGGAAGGATGGCAGCAGGAACAAGGATCCCCCTTACAGGCATAAGGTAAGAAGGGAGGGGGGATATTAACTGATCTGCCCCCACCTCCACTGGACCACCAGGGAAGGCAGCAAGGAAGGATCCCCCCTCCCTACATAAGGTGGGGGGATATTTATGAATTAATCTGCCCCCACCTCCACCCCCACAAATCACCCAAACATACAGCACACAAACGGCACACATACACATACAGCACACACACACACACACACATACATCACACAAACAGCACACACACACAGCACACACACACAGCTCCCTCACACACACAGCACACACACACATACAGCACACAAACAGCACACACAGCACCCCCACACACAGCACCCGCACACACAGCACCCACACACATACAGCACCCTCACAAACACACACACAGCATACTCACACACAGCACACACAGCACCCTCACACACACACAGCACACTAACAGTACCCTCACAAACACACAGCACACTAACAGTACCCTCACAAACACAAACAGCACCCGCACACACACACAGCACACAAACAGCACCCTCACACTAACAGGACCCTAACAAACACACACACAGCACACTACCAGTACCCTCACATACAAACAGCACCCTCACAAGTGCACACACACAAACAGCACCCTCACACTCAGTACATTAACAGCACCCTCACAAGCGCACACAAACACCCTCACCCACACAGCACACTACCAGCACCCTCACACACACACATCACACTAACAGCACCCTCACACAGCACACAAACACACAGCAGTGTAGTTGTGTGTGTAGATATGTGTGTGTATATATATATATATATGTGTTTATATATATATATATATGTATATATATATATAAACATACATGTATATACATACATACATATATATATACGCAGCGTGTGCTTGTGCTTTAGGTTGCACACCCTAATGCAATAGGCTGCACACGCCTATGTTTGTTCTGTAGACCGAGAATGACATATCTCTAAAGCACTATTGAAAAGGAATATCTGAACCTGCCGTAATTATATACAGATGATAAGAATTTGTCTAACGCTTTATGGCAGATCGCGGAAGAGGCCTGCAGAAGGAAAATTTGTAGAAATAAAACCACCTTGACAGTAACGCAGTAGGGTCAAAAAGCAAAGCAAAGTCAGTGTTCTTAGACTAAATAAGAACAGTATGATCTGTCATCAACACAGCATTTTTACACTATCGGACAATGCACCCTGGGAACTCCTGCTGGATTTCATTTCATTTCCCCCAAAACTAACAAAAGAAAACCTATAGTTGGTAATTCATCATGACAGTAGAAAAGCAGTAAAACTCTCCTGTTAAGAACATCCTGTGTAAATGGTCTATTCTTAATATTACGATATGTTGCCGACTTGTAAATTGTAATTTATGCGTTCAACATTTGAAGTTTAAATAACTTTCATAAATTCTATCAGAATATTCAGGTAGGTTTTTCAGTGGAATGTACCATTCGTATATGTATTATTCAGATGATTGTGATGCGCTTTTCAGGAGAAAAAATATAGTGCTAGTGTTAATTAAGTGTTAGTCTTAATCTTCTTTGGAATTTGCACCACTGAATAAAATATTGAAACTCACCTATAATTGCCATAATTGTGCATCATGTAATGCTCTGTGTTATTTTTCAATTTGCAGTAAAGGGTTACTCCAAGCAATGATGACTTCTGTAATTTGAAATGGTCATAGCTCTAGGAGCCTACATGTGCAGGTTTCAGTTTGAAATGCGGCACATACAAAGTTGTTGGAAGTGTAGCTCTTACTCCAGCAGCGTTGCAGGCTGGCTAATATTAAATTTTTGGCATCCTGGGCACTGTTCATGAGCATGAATAACATGCTGGCAAGAAATGATCAATGGCGGCACAATTCACCCTTTAAAGATTTAGCAAATTACATCATAATCCAATCTCAGGCAAGGCAAAGCCAGGGCAAAAATTGCAAATGAAGAGGAAATATAGAAACATTGTTTCATTTCTCCTCTTCTCTGTGAACTTTCTCTTTTCTGACGGATGGGTGCAAAGCACAGAGCTTACAGTAATGATTGGCAGGTGATTAAGATGGAGATGCCCAGTTGCAGGATAGAGATGTGTGGATTTCTACATTTCATTTTTCACACGACACAGTTGCATGTTATTTAAATATAGGGATAAGTAAACATAATATTACAAATTCTGAGATGGGGCATGGCCGAGCAGCCGACCAAGATGGACACGTGAAGCTAAGCTCCGCCGAGCCTTAGGCTGCCAACCGCTAGAAAGCTGCCGCAGACCCCATAATGGGGATACATAACAAACCTGGGGGTAACCCAAACCTCCGGGGATCCGTCAAGCCTCAATGTCCGCCTCGATGAGACAGTGCTTAACTGCACAGATGGACCACAAAGCCCAAGAGGCGTCTGAGGCCTACACACTGCCGCACTCAGAGTCGCCGAGCCGAGAAGAACCCCCCTCAATCACCTCCGCCTGACTGGTTGAGCCTTGTAAGGGCACTCCCCACCCGAGAGGACTTGAAGGAGACGACCAAAGCACTACGCACCTCGATTAGAAACGAGAGATGATCTACAGGGCTGACAGACCGTGTGGCACATGTGGAGGCCGACCATGACAACCTAATGGCGGCCCAAGTGGCTACTACCTCAACCCTCGAACTCCAGACGTCCTAACTACATCACATGGCGCTACATATTGAGGACCTCAACAACAGAGGCAGGCTCCAAAATCTTCGCATACGGGGGATACCAGAGGGGGAAGACTCTACCACACAATTCAAGACACAGCTCACGGGCATATTTAACAGGCTACTGAACAGAGCAGAAGACACCCCTATATACTTTGTATGAGCTCACAGGGCACTGAAACCCAGGGGACCACCAGATGCCCCACCGAGAGACGTGATCTGCTGCCTAGCTCACTTTGCCCTCAAAGAAGATATTTTACAGGAGGCCTGGAATAAGATATGATGGCCACAGCCTACAATTGTTCCCTGCCACATTGGGATTTCAACGGGCCCTTAAACCCCTCACCCGAGTACTGGTTGAACAGAAAATCTGATACCGCTGGATATTCCCAACAGGACTGGTAATACTTATGCCAGAAGGGCAACGTCCAGTACGCCATCAACAAGACCTAATGGCCATCTCGGACTATCTCCAGTTGCCACCCATTAACATGTGCTGGGCTGACCCGCTCGACTTTTACCGCCCGACACCTGAAACACCGGAATATGCACTGCCACAACAGGAACCAGATGGAATCCACGTGACCCGTAGGGGCACAACACTAATCGCTAGGCGCTGCCTAGGGGGGCTGGGACTCTCAGATTTAGACCCCGACCGCCCAACACACCACGAGTCTCGACCGGCACTTGGAAGAACACCGGAACACACCAAACTTTGCCCCAGACAACATACGTAAGAGGCCACTTAACGAACAAGACATGCATTCAGAAGGCTACAATGCAGGTTACGAACAATATTGTTTATTGTTTATGCTTTAGATACCTCCGTACACTTCTCCTGGACTCACTTTATTGCAGAGAGAAACCTCCACCGACTGGGCACGGGGGAGGGGAGTCATTGCAAACCCTACCACCAGTAACCATACAACACCGGGTCTTCAAACCCACCCCCCCTTTACGTTACTCTTCACTCACCAGATACACCCCCACCTCGCACATGACAGACAAGTGGAGATCAAACTAATGTCCATAAATGCAAAAAGGCTTGAAGAAACCAGAAAAGAGATCTCACGCCGTCAGGCAATTTCATAGCCAAAGGGCGCACATAGTCTATATACAAGAAACATATTTAAAGGTAGACCAGGCTCCCAAACTGACAGACCAGAGCTTCACACAATGTTTTCTTACCAATAACCCGGAGGGAAAATCGAAAGGGGTAGCCATACTGATACATAGGGGCCTACAGTTCATGCCCATTGAAGTGCTCAAGGATGACTTGGGAAGATACATCTGCATGAAGGGTAGAGTGGGTACTGAACATACATATTAGAGAACCTCTACATGCTGAACAGGAACCAAGGTCGGTTCCTCAAATCCGCCATGGGAACGATCAGGGGCTTCACCGATGGTTGCCTCATCATGGGAGACGACCCCAACGTTGCGCTGGATCCCTCACTAGATACATCATCAGGCACTTCCTCGACACCCCACCACATTATTAACTCCATCAACACCTGCCTACGGGAACACCAATTGGTAGATTGTTGGAGAGCAAAATACCTGGAGGACCAAGATTACACATTCTTCTCCATACCCAACCAGACATACTCGAGGCAAGACTTCTTCTTACCCCACTACTTTCTCAGAGATCTGAATAAAGCACACATCGAGACAAATACGTGGTCGGACCACGCTTCGATACTTATGACGCTTTCATCCCCCCCTCCTGTCGGACCCGTTGGTGACAGCAGATTTTCACAAACACCTCACTCACTACTTTTGGGAAAGCGAGACAACATATATTGCCCCCATGGTCCTGTGGGAGGTCAATAAGCCTGTCATCAGGGGTCACTTCATAGCGAGGGGGGCGACGATGAAAAAAACTCACAACATTAGTACATGAGATCCAAACCTTAGAGGATAGACACAAACAAACACAACATCCAGCTGACTGGACCAAACTGACAACCACCAGACGAGAGCTATCCACCATCCCAAATGCTTCCTACCAAAGGAAATAGCTCCAAACGAAAACATTTTTCCACACTAACGCTATCAAATGTGGTGCACTACTGGCCCACATGATTGCCAAACGGAGGGCGAACACCTACATCCCTAAGATTCGGCAGACCAAAAATAAACTGACATACCTACCTCCAAACATAGCTAAAGCAGTACGAGATTACTGGGCACAGCTATATTCCCTTTCCACAACAAAACCACCAGATCTGGGGAACAAACCGCAAGATGCCCTCCTGACGACATACCTGGACAGACACGTACACAAGTGCCTCACTAGGGAGGCAGAACAGGAACTGGAAGAACCATAGAGGAACTAGCAGGGATGCTTACGACGACAAAACTGGGCAAGAGCCCAGACGGACTCCCCATACGCTACTATAAACAATTTGCAGACTTGCTTCTCCCTCATCTCCGCAAAGCCTACAATTCCATTAGAGACCACCATGAGATACCCTTAGACACGCTGGCAGCAGGGCCAGATTAACATAGGGGCTGATAGAGCTGCAGCTCCAGGCCTAGGCCCATAAAATAGGCCCATTTTTTATTTTATTTTTACACACTACTCTTAGGTTTGCCACCTGACTGGTATTTTACTGGCACAGCCGGTATTTGAGGCTGCCTGGCCGTGCCGATATTGCAGTAATACCGGCAATACAAATGCAGGTAATTTTCTCAGTATAAACGGACATTACTCTGCAATACCAGCACCGGCTAGCAGGGATAGGAAGTTACAGCATATCCCTGCCTCTCTCTACTACTCACTGAGACATGGGGGAGCAGCTACACAGCACAGAGAGTCCAGACAGCAGCTCTACAGCTCAGGTAAGTGAGGGATGGGGTGAAAGGCTGCAGGGAGACATGGGGACACTGAGACACTAGGGGACACATGGAGACACAGACACTAGGGGACACTGGGAGACCTGAGGACACTGAGATACTTGGGGACATTGGAAAACATGGGGAGACTGAGACACTAGGGGACACTGTGAGACATAGGGACATTGGGAGAAACTGAGACATTGGGACATGGATACACTAGGGACACAGTGTCCCCATGTCTCCCCATGTCCCCCAGCCAGTGTCCCCATATCCCCCAGCCAGTGTCCCTAGTGGCTCAGTGTCCCCATGGCTCTCAGTTTCCCCTAGTCTCCCAGTGTCCTCAGTGTCCCCATGTCTCCCAGTTTCCACAAGTCTCCCAGTGTCTGTGTCCCCATGTCTCTCAGTGTCCTAATGTCTTCCCCATTTCCCCATGTCTATGTCCACAAGTGTCCCCATGTCTCCTAGTGTCCCCAAGTGTCTGTCTCCCAGCCAGTGTCCCTAGTGTCTCAGTATCCCCATGTCTTCCAGTACCCCCTAGTCTCCCAGTGTCCCCACGTCTCCCACTTTCTGTGTCCCCATGTCTCTGTGTCCCTTGTGTCTCAGTGTCTCCATGTCTCCCAGTGTCCCCATGTCTGTATTCACATGTGCCCCCATGTGTCCCCATGTCTCACTGTGTCCCCTAGTATCCTAGTGACATGGAGACACTGAGACACTGGGAGACTAGGGGACTGGGCGACATGGGGACACTGACACTGCGATACATAGGGATACTGAGAAACTGGGTGACTTGTGAGACTGGGAGACAGGGAGACACTGGGAGCAATTCCTCTATACAGCAGAATCGAACTGTGAGTAGTTTGTTGGTGATTTTACAGAATTTTCTCTTATGTCACGCCTTGTGATTTACATCATGTGATGTCACGCATAACTAATTCATTATAGAAATGATTAAGGCTGGTATTTTTTTTCCAAGACAGGTGGCAACCCTAATTACTCTTCACATACTCTTGCTTAAAGGAACACTATAGGGTCAGGAACACAATCATGTATTTCTGACCCTAAAAAAACACCATCTAGCCCTCCTGGCCCCTTCTTGCCTCCCTAAATATAGTTAAATCTTACTTGTGTTCTGTAGTCTGCAGCTGCTGGCTCTGCCTCTGAACTGACTCTGTCTGCTGGCATCATCAGAAGTGGTGGTCTGAGCAAATTGCAATGCTTCCCCGTAGAATTGGCTGAGACTGTCAACTAGGCAGATCAGGGGCAGAGCCAGCACAAGTCAAACATGGCCCTGGCCAATCAGCATCTCCTCATAAAGATAAATTGAAGCAATGCATCTCTATGAGGAAAGTTCAGTGTCTGCATGCAGAGGGTGGAGACACTGAATGGCAGTGCTGCACACTAGGCAGTACTGCCCCAGAGGGCACCTCTAGCAGCCATCTAAGGAGTGGCCAGTGGAGTTATTTTCTCTGAAAAGACAGTGTTTACTGCAAAAAGCCTAAAGGGAATGATTCTACTTACCAGAACAAATACAATAAGCTGTAGTTGTTCTGGTGACTATAGTGTCCCTTTAAGTTTGGAAGCTTAAGAGGGATGTATGGCAACAAAACTTGTGTGGACTGGCTGACAATAAAATGTATTTAGGTAATGCAGACTTTGGTTTCTCTAACACTGTGGCATATCCCCTTTCTTCTACACTCACTACATACACCTTTACTCTGTCCCAGACTATATACCAGGAACTTCTGCCTGCTAGTAAGATGATAAGGAGACAAGTGGACATGTGAGTGCTAGGGGACAGTCCTTAGAAAGCGTGGAGTAGGCACATCATTTGATGCATTTATGACAAGCTCTGGGTGCTGCCTGCATAGTATGCCCTTAGTTGGACAGCATTCATGCCAGGCTGGCCTTCCAATTCTTTGGACAGACATTCCCCCTTTTGGTTCACCTCTGCTGGCAGGTCTGGTCACATGATTTGCGTCAGTTACCCTTCCCTTTGACTTCCTGCTTCACTGGACACTGCTGTTAGGGGTTCTTGATTTACTAGAAAGATGAAAACATAAATTAGAGAGAGATTAGCATAGAGTATGTATTTTCATATCGCTGCATCCTTTGAGTTTCCCTTCAACACCATCTCCATCAGATACATGACGCTTGGGAGGTATGGTTGTTTTAGTGTTTTTGGTATATACGATTCTGTAATTAGGCCCATCATAATTGTCAGCTCCAGGCCCACTGGGCTCTTAATCTGACCCTGGCTGGCAGCCAGCATCACCCTGATCCCCAAAGAGGGCAGGGACGAAGAGCAGTGTGCCAATTACAGGCCACTCTCGCTACTAAATTGTGACCTCAAATTGTTCACCAAAATTTTATTCGCATGCCTTCAATGATTCCTCATCAGGGTCAAGCAAGGTTCGTTCCAAAATGAGAGGCACGGGACAATACAATCCGAGCGCTGTCCCTGATCCACTACGCGCAGCAACGGTCGGAGGGCCTTCTCCTGTGCTCTACAGACGCGGAGAAGGCCTTCAACGGAGTCAATTGGGACTATCTGTTTGCGGTCCTGAGGTCTCTGAAGATGGCCCGATACATGTAAGGCTGGATACAAGCCCTATATACGACCCCTACGGTCAGAATATGCGTGAATGGGGCATTCACGGAACCCTTCCCGATCTTAAATGGCATGTGGCAGTGATGTCCCCTTTCACCTCTGCTCTTCCTCCTTGCTCTCGAACCCTTCCTGAATGCAGTGCGTCACAATCTCCAGATACAGGGACCCCAAGTGGGAAAGGACAAACACTCTGTAGTGGCATACGCAGATTTATTGTTCTTTGTAACAGAACCTGAAGTGTCCCTCCCGACAATCATGACAGAATTTAAAACATCTCAAATCTCAAAATTAATTACATGACATCAAGAATCCTGAACATCTCCACACCCCAAAAGATAGAGAAAGGGCTAAGAAACAAATACCCCTTCACATGGGCAAAGTTGAAACTGAAATACTTAGGGGTCTGGTTAACTAGAGACCATACACAACTCTATCAAGCAAACTTCCACCCCATACTACTCAGAGTACAAAGAGACCTAGAAGACTGGTCCAGACCGGGCATCTCATTGTTCGGTAGGATAGGGACAGTAAAGATGACACTCCTACCCCGAGTACTTTACCTTTTCCAAACAATACCCATTACCATTCTCGAAGCTTTCTTTGCTTCCCTACATACATTGGTCCTGAAATTTATTTGGCGCAAAACCAAAGCCAGGATTAGCCATGACACCCTTACATGCCCAAAGGCGGAGGGCGGACTAGCCCTACCGGACTTTAGACAATATTACCTGGCGACACATATCCACAGAATAACAGAGTGGGCCAAACAAGGAGTTTCCAAACTATGTAAGACGGTAGAAACAGCGCTAGTAGGACAACCAGTAGAAGTCCTCCCCTGGCTGGACCCACTCCACTGTGCAAGAATAGCAGCCCCGCACCCACTAATCAAAGCCACGACACATGTATGACACCTTCTGGTGACCAAATTGGAGCTCACCTCCTTCCCCTTCCCACTGTACCCAATAGTACACAACACATCATTCCTCCCAGGACTAGAGGCGCGTGTTTTTCAAACACTACTAGGACACAGCCTCCCCCAACTAAGACATGCGATACAAGATGGTATCATCAAGACCCTGATGGACCTCCCAAACCCCACCTCACTGAACTTCATGCATCACTTTCAATGCAGACAGCTAGCACAATTTGTCACCTCAATACAGCAGACACACTTGGTTTCAAGGGAACCCACCGACTTCGAGGCACTGTGTATGGACCATGAGCCCATGGAGAGGGGACTCTCACTTCTTACCAATTCATTATGAGACACAGTAGACTACCCGCCCCAAGCTACATGGGGAAGTGGGAGACCACCCTTGAAATCACACTCACCCACACAGTGGTCCAAAATTTGCACCCTGACACTGCACAGTGCACTATCCAG